TTTGACAAAGAGCATTCCCTTGGTTGGCGTGGTGTATCTTTTACATCATTAATTCATAAGCTGCCTCTTGCAGAGAGGATCTGAGGGACAGGTCTCTCCTTTGGTTTCTATCAGGTTCCTAGACAGTTGTCGTAATAGATACAGCTCAGCCGCGGACCTGGAGAGACGAGAGGAAAGAGGAACCAGGCAACCACCGGCTGCTCCCGGAAGCTTCTAGAAGCGTGGAGAGCCCACAGTGTCTTAGCGCCAGCCCTGCTCTGGCCCTGACCTCTGCCAAGCATCTCTGGCCCATGTTCTTAGGTCATTCTCACCGCGGCTCCTGAAAGGAAGCTGGTGTTCAAAAAAGGTTTATTGGTTTTGCCTAAAGGTCGCACAAGTGATAACGGGTTTGTGCTTTCTGAGCCGCTGTTCTATTGACAAAACACAGCTTTTGAAGAAGATGGTGCATAGATTTTTCCAGAGAGGCAAAGGAAAACAAGAGAAGAAAGTCCAGGGCTGTGTCTCTTTCCAGTTACTCAAAGGAAGCTCATTGCTGATTTCTGATGTTAGCTTCCCTCCGTGTGGCTGGGGTGTAAGTGGCTCCCTGCACGTCGCAGGGGCCCGGAAGTCCTTTTGGCATTGAATGATTTCACTTCATGAGCTATTATCTGCTGTCTCACTGGAGTTCTCGTGGGGGCTGGCCACAGTAAGAGGCCAGTGATAACTCCCTTCGCTTTCCTTTTCGAGTTCAACTCCCTCCCTCCCTCCATCTCTCCCACCCACCAGCCCTCCAGCCCCCTTCCCGTATGGATCTGAAAGCATCTGCTGTGTGCCGAGCACTCGGTGACACGGTGGGGACACAAGCCAGACTCCGGCAAGCTCCCTGCCTTCGGGCCTCCATTGGCGCCCTCGCCGCGTGCTTCTGTAAGGCTCAGTTTGTGTGTCTGACTCCCACGTGAGACCCCAAGCCCTTGTTTGGAACAGGTCTGGCAGCGCCAGCTAAGTATCAGCAGCGTCTTGTGAATGAGTCTGGGTGAAATCGCACTGGGTGTTGGAGGGTCTTTAGGACCCTTAGGTCTTTAGGACAGTGTCAGGCAGGGAAGGGGGGCGTTCTTGGCAGAGTGATCCCGCGTGTACAGGGCATGGGCGTGTGACAGTGCCTCCTGATGTCCTCACAAGGCGCAGAGAGGATTCAGGAGACTGGACGCGTGGGAAGGTGTCCAGGAGAGGCCTTAGCGTACTCCCTGATTGCCTCTTCCCCGCTCCCCCCAACCCACCATGCAGATACTCATGCCTGGGCCGGTCCTGGATTTCTGGAAGGATGGACGTCGGGGTTCACCTAGAGCCTCACTTGACCGACACAAGCACACAGGCCAGCTGAGGCGGAAGCCCCGCCCTCACACCTGTGCCTTGCTGCCAGGTTCCCACGAGGAGCTTGCTGGGTCCCCGCCAGTGGCTGACAAGCCAGAGCGGGATTTGTGCGGGGGACAGACCGGGAGAGCATTAGCAGCGGTAAGGCCCATCTCGTTCCCATGGCAACCCTCACTGTCGTCTTCCAAGCAAGGTGAGGGTTTCTTGGAGGAGACACTTTCCTGCTTTTAGAAGCAGGTGTTTTGTGAGCCCCCCCGCCCCCCACCGCCGCGCGCCTGGCGCTGTGCTTGGCAAGGTGCCGGAGAGGACGCCGAGAAAAGCGAGGGCCCCCGGGATGCCCGCCATCAGCAGGGGGAAATAACTCCCACACGGACACGCACCGCACAATGAGTCACCCTCAGGCCGCGCCTCTGCCGTGTGCGGGTGGTTTCCACGTGGTCCAGCGAACCTCTGCAGGGCGGGATGTGATCTTCTTCCTGACTTGGCATCCCGCCGAATCCACACCACCGCTTCCCCGGGCCAGGAGGCCCACGCAGCCTCTTAGGGGGTTCTTGAGATGAAAGGAATCACCTCGACTGTTGGAGTGGCTGAGGGGGGGGGTCACTACAGAGCTCTCATCTCCCCTCAACCTTGAGGTCTGCACCAGTTGGGAAACAAGACCTGTATCTGGCATGTTCTCCAGCCAAAAATCGAAATCACCTGTCACTTTCATTACTTTGGAAAGCTCGATCGGAGGATGCGGCTTTTGTGCAGCTGTGATGAGCCCCACGGTGAGATACTGCAGCCCCTCCCCCCCCCCCAAGAAAGCCGCCTTCAGGGACGTCCTCCTCCCGGTCAGCAGGTACTGTGGCTGCTCTTGCCAAGTGCCAACCCCTGTCCCCTGTCGGTTCCCTCACAGAGCTCCTCCACATGAAGGGGCCCCAAGGAGAGGGAGACCTGCATGGCCCCTCCCCAGCATTGGCCGCTCAGGTTGGCCAGTCCCAACCAATGGATACTGGTCACAGACGGCAAGTGTGTGTGCCAGGCAGGAGGAGGGCCCTCTTCCCTGGGGATGGCGGTGCCTGCAGCGGACTTTTTGGGGCCCTGCCCTGGGCCACCAGCTTGACTTTACCATACACGGCCGGGCGGCACCAGCCACAGAGAGCATCCAGGAGAGAGGTTGTCACAAGCACGGGAGAAACTCCCTGTGTCCCAGGGAAGAGAACACCCCATAGTCCCTGACTCCGATTAATGCCCATGTTTCTTTTTCCTGCCTCTGCTCAGCCAATTTGTTGAATAGTGAATAACGAACAGGGCCAAGAATTAGAGGGGCATAAAAGGCCATAGTGTGCAAAACGAATTGTCTTCTCATCCCTGTGCCCAAAGGCAGTCCGTTCCCCGTGGCATGCAGCCTGCGGGGATCGTCCATGGCTATCTGCATTTTTACACATGGACTCTTTTTTTTTAAATGCAAAGTAATAGCCTATCTCGCGCACTGTTTTGCTCCTTTATATTGCCCCATTTTGCAACAATCTTGGGGATTGTTCAACATCCATAACTATGTATAACAGCCTGTTCTTTAAGTGGTTGTATAATATTCTTCTTTTAAAAAAATGTTTATTTTGAGAGAGAGAGAGAGAGAGCGAGTGTGCATGAGGGAAGAGCAGAGAGAGAGAGGAAGAGAGAGGATCCCCAGTAGGCTCCGCACCGGCAGCACAGAGCCCCGCGTGGGGCTCGATCCCACCAACTGTGAGATCACGACCTGAGCCGAAACCGAGAGTTGGACGCTTAACCGATGGAGCCACCCCGGGCACCCCCAGGGGTTGCATAACTTCCTAGTAACAGGAACGATTACTGACTTCACTGAGAATTTAATGTAAATGAAAGACAGCTCTGTGTTATGTGCTTGAACCTGTCTCCCTGCAAAGCAGCCTCCGAGCTGAGGACTGTTGACAGATGAGGGGGCCAGAGCACAGAGAGTGTGCGTCACTTGCCCAGGGTCACAAGGCAAGTAGGAGGATGTGAGTCCCGGCGGTCTGAGTGCGGAGCCAGCCGCGTTCGTGAACACCGTGTTCCACAGCCCCCAGCAAACGCGTGGCCGGTAACCTCCTGTGTCGAGGGCTGTGCGCACGCGTGCAACCTTAACTGCAGTATGAGTTCTTCACGGTGGAATTGCTGCATTATTGTGAACTTTTCATGGTTGCTGTCAGACTGCCCACCAGAGAGGCCGGGCCGGCTCCAGCCAAGTCCCTGTGTCGCACATGCTCGTCACCATGGCTACGGATCGTTGTAGCCTTGGTCAGTCTGATGGGAAACCGAGGCTCCTTCCTATAGCTTTCACCTGCGCTTTTCTTGTAACGCACGAGGTGGGACGTCTTTTGCACGTTGAAGACGTGTCTGTGTTTCCTTGTCTGGTGAGCAGAGGAGGTGGCCTGGGCTTAGGCTGGACGGCTTGAGTCACAGCGCTTGTCCCCGACTCCCGGTCTGCCGTTTAATCGTTCGATGACCTTGAGCACTGCCTGTAACCTCCCTGTGCCTCAGTGTCCTCACGTGAACCCGGGGGTGGTGACAGTGCCCACCCAGCAGGAGGTGAGGGTTTAACCAGGTCGCGTATGCCCAGGGCTGAGAACAAGGGCTCTGGATGTGCTCGTGGCGAGCGGTTCACCTGTTTCCAGACCGTTTAGTGCTTGGCTCTGTTCTGCCCATTGACGTCCATGTTTTTCTTTTCTGTGACTCAGCTCCATAGATGTCGCAGAAGTGGACGACAGTTACTCAGCGCCTCTCAGCTTCTAATTCATTGCTGTGCCTGAGCGTGTCATGTAGCTGTTGAGTCCACAGTGGGCTAGAAGGCTGCAAAAGCTACTGTGAGCCCAACCAGCGGGGTCCCGGCTCCTTGGAGATCATAGGCTGGTGGGGGAGACAGGCATTCATCAGAGAATCACATGGAAAAATACATGATTACACTGACCAACCTGGGCGCCACGAAGGAGATGGTGCCTGGGGCTCTGAGAACCTCGCCCAGAGTCCCCTCTTGCCGGGAGAGGTCTGTGGGCTGGGGGTTTGGCGTGTGCTCAGTGACCAGTGAGGCTGACTGGGGACAGCAGTGGCTCAGGCAGGGACACGGGCTTCAGGAAACACCAGGTCACCGGATTATCCTGCAGGGTGGGGTGCTGTGGATGGTCGGATGGAGAGGGAGGCCGGCCCGGTTGTGAAGGCTGGACTGCTGGGCGTGGGCTTCGGGCTTTGACTCGGACTGGGGTCTGTCGGCCTCGGAGAAGGTGAACCCTCAGACCGCCCCCTTGCCGCTTCAATTTCAGTGGGATTTCTAAGCTCCTTTCTTTTCAAGCATTCACCGATTTGGTGTCAGGATGCTTACCCAGGGATTTAGTTCAGAAGTTTTACTTTGAAAGTCTTTGCTTTGTTGTTTCTGCTACTTTTGTCCGTTTTGTCACGAACACGTGAAAATATCCAAGACGGTCATTTGACACTCATGTACACAGCTCTCTTTGGGACGATATTCCTTCCCAGTCACTGCAGCCTGACGTTCCTAAACGTCCTGGGTATTTCGGTGCTGGGGGAAGTCAGCGCTCTAGGAGACGTGCTGTCCCCAAAGACTCTGGCCTGAGTGGTGATCACCGTGTACAGCCCAGAAGACCAGCCGGCAGGTCAGCCCTTTACGGCTCCCGTTTCTTCTCTCGCTCGCTCATCTCCTCTCCAACGGGTGTTCCCCGAGCACGTTCTCACCCAGAGCCACTTTCCCGGCACTGCAGATGCTAAAGATGGGCTAGGAGTGCTCCACGATCTCCGGACACTCGCAGTTCACAGAGAAGACAGACTCACAGACGGTCCCGGCAAGGTGGCACGGGGTGCAGGTGGCTGGGGACAGGACACTGCACAGGGTGGGAGGGGAGGGCTCCAGCTCTGCCTTCACCCAGAAGGCGTGGCCTCAGGCAGAAGGAAGAGCCAGAGGACGAGGGCAGGGGTCAGGTTCCCAGATAGACAGATAGATGTGGCCCCGTGGAATTAGGCTTTCCGGTTTATGCATCTGGGAGACGTGTAATGAGCAACGTGTCTTGCAGGCACTGTGCAGGTTCAGCAGGGACCGAAGTAAAGTCCTTGTCCTCACAAGCTGTCCGTGGTCGGCGGGGACAGAAAACAAATGAAGATGAAATGTATGGAGGTGACGGGTCAGTGGGTCAAACGGGGAATGGCAAGGACTGCGTGAAGTAGATGCCTCGGGAACAGCCTTCCGGACAAGGTGGCATTGGAACAGGAAGCCCTGGACGGAGCCGTGAGGGTGGCGTCCCCTCCTCCCTGGGAGAAGAATGGGGAGGCCTGTAGCATCTTGATGCTAAAGAGAATCCGTGGCCTGGATTCTTGGCCCGAGCAGAAATACTCTCTCGAGCACGCCTCGCAGGTGGTTATTCCATTTCTACTTGGATATCCCATGGTCAATAGGAACCTTCATCCCTCAGAGTTTGTTGTGAGTTGAATTGTGTCCTACAGTTGTGTCCTTTAAGAATTGGGAAGTTTAGGGGCGCCTGGGTGGCCCAGTCGGTTAAGCGTCCGACTTCAGCCAGGTCACGATCTCGCGGTCCGTGAGTTCGAGCCCCGCGTCGGGCTCTGGGCTGATGGCTCGGAGCCTGGAGCCTGCTTCCGATTCTGTGTCTCCCTCTCTCTCTGCCCCTCCCCCGTTCATGCTCTGTCTCTGTCTCAAAAATAAATAAAAAACGTTGAAAAAAAATAAAAAAAAAAAAAAGAATTGGGAAGTTTAGACACACACACACACAGGGAGACACCCACCCCCCGCACCGCCCCACAAAGATGGAGGCAGAGATGGAAGTGATGCCTCCACACGAGGGTTGCTGAGCACGGCATCCACACCGGCAGCCAGGAAAGGGGCACAGCCTCTTAGATTCAGAGGGAACCAGCCCTTGCCACATCTTGATTTTGGGTGTCGCACCCTCGCTGGTTACAGCCGCCCTGGAAACAAGTACAGCTTCTCGTCGTTGTGTGGGTGGCTTGTACACCTTCGAAGTCCAGCCTGTTTTCATTTTTTTTTAAGTTTATTCATTTATTTATTTTGAGAGAGAGACAGAGCTGGGAAGGGACAGAGGGACAGGGGGAGAGAGACTCCCAAGCAGGCTCCGTGCCCAGCCCCGAGCCCGATGTGGGGCTCGAACTCACAGACTGTGAGATCATGACCTGAGCCAAAGTCAAGAGCCGGACCCTCAACCGACTGAGCCACCCAGGCACCCCTCCCTCTTGTTTTGATCCAGAAGTCTACATTCGTAGTTCTATGTGAGCAGAACCAGCGAATCCGTGCACGTTGTGATGTCATCCTGATACCATCCTCTGGAGGGCCTGTCCCTCCCTCTTGTCATCTCACAGCCACTGCCTGCAGCCTGACCATCACCCTGTCTTCACTGGCCTGCGCTGACCTGACATCCATCCCTGAGCCCCGGTCCGTTCTCCACGTACCAGCCGGGGTGGGGGAGGGGCATGCTTTCCATGGCCCTGACCACTTGCTGGAGGCCCCGTGCTGGCTTGCTCTTTCTTGGCAAAGTCCTAATCCTCGCCACAGCCCGCAACAGCCTGTGTCATCTGCCCAAGGCCGTTAGGCCTGGAGTGTTGATATTTTGTGTGCATGTGATCACGATGACCAGATTTCTGTGAGGCGGTCATGAAGAAGACAGGAACCGGGGACAGTGATGGGAAGTGTAGGGAAGCGGATGTCAGGGGATTAAGAGGGAGACCTTTCTGTTTGAGCTCTCCGATAATGGGCAGCCTGCCTGGAGGAGCACTTAGCTCCCCATCACCGTGTGTGTGCAGCACAGAGGCTGGGGGACTCCTTGGCAGGGAAGGTGTTGAGGAAATCTGAGCGTTGGTTGGAAAGATGATTTAGCAGACATCCGAGGTTTATCTTATCCATCTTTTAAATGTTTCATCCTAAAGTTGCTTTCAGATGCTCTTCAGGTAGAACACAGTCTGTCTTTCCAAAGAGGAGTTTCAAGAGCTATCTATCTTCCTAGGTGGCTAGCTGTAACCCATCTGTCCGCTCATCCATGATCTATCCATCCACCCACCCACCTGCTAACCCACAAACCCAGCCACCAACCCATCCCTTCATATGTATGTATATCCCACCCACCCATCCGTCCATCCACTCATCCGTACATGTGTCCTTCCATCCACCTACCCTCCCATCCATCCACCCACCCACCCATTCACCCTCCATCCATCCCCCCATCCATCTGTCCACCCACTCTTCGATCCATCCACCCATGCATCCACCCACCCATCCATCTATCCATCCATCCATCCATCCATCCATCCACCCACCCATCCATCTATCCATCCATCCATCCATCCATCCATCCATCCATCCACCCATCCATCCATTCATCCATCTATGTTTGTCATGTTTCCCTCTTATCTTCTTTTCTTTGTCATAAAAATGATATCAAGGAAGACTGGACAGACACAGACACAGCAACAGCAATGTGAAATAACATTTCTTAGCCTCCGTTTTTTCTCAGGCACCAGCTAAGCGCTTTGAGTGTGTTGGTGTGACTGAAGCAGCAGGACAGAGGGTAGAGCTGGGGCCACGTGTCTGCCACCTAAGAGCTATGCCACTTTCAGTCAGGCATTTTAATTTTCCTGTGCCTCAGTTTCCTCACGTGTTAAAAAAAAAGGTTAATCACCTACTTTATAAGACTGTTGTGAGGATTAAATGGGATGATGTTTGTAAAGCTATTAAAACAAAGCCTGTGCGTAAGAGACACTGCTATTCATCCTCTTAATGGCCTTCATTTGACACAGTGATAATATTCTCATTAACCAGCTGGGAAACTAGGCTCAGAGACACCAAGACGCACACCTGAATCACCCAGCTCTGAAGGGACGATGCTAAGATTGGAAGCTGAGTGGCTGTGACTTCCAAGTTCATCGTACTTTCAGACATGATGCGGTGTGCGCTGCCTTTTGCGACAAGGTGATTGGCGTGTGCCTGAAAGGGAGCTGGGAGGAATGTTCCGGAGGGATTTGAAGTGGGCAGAGGAACGCTCACTCCTTTTGGTCTGCTGCAGAGCTGACTGGTGTGTGGGGCTGTGGCCAGTGCGTGGGCCAGGGGTGGGCAAGGAGAAGCTGGAGGCCGGCGGAGGGCGGGCCCGACCCGACTTCTACACGGAGGGATCAGCAAGAGGAAAGACTGTCACAGAGGGAGGATGCAGACCACCCATTCCTGGTAGCCTACAATCTGAGTTTTTTTTTTTTTTAATTTTTTTTTTCAACGTTTATTTATTTTTGGGACAGAGAGAGACAGAGCATGAACGGGGGAGGGGCAGAGAGAGAAGGAGACACAGAATCGGAAACAGGCTCCAGGCTCCGAGCCATCAGCCCAGAGCCTGACGCGGGGCTCGAACTCCCGGACCTCGAGATCGTGACCTGGCTGAAGTCGGACGCTTAACCGACTGCGCCACCCAGGCGCCCCGTACAATCTGAGTTCCTACCAAACCAAAAGCGTATGGTTTATCGTAACTTTTAACTGATGTCTTGGCTCACGTACGATGACTACGTTTACTCTGAGTTAGGCTCCCATTACCGTTTTGACAATGAAGATACTCAGGAGGTTTGTTCCCTGCTCAACTTGCATTGTCTAGGCCCTCGACATCACCAGTACGCTGATGTGGTTTATGGTCCTGACATGGGATCCCCCTGCAGGATCACTTTCCGTGGAAATGGACTCCTAGGAAGAAAATTCCAGTTTCCCTAGCACTCTTTGCTTTTTGTGGGTCTGTTATGCCAACTGGAAGGTCCCGGATTTATATTGAAAAACGGCCATGGCTGATTTCTTTTTCCTTCTGGATTAATTACCCTCCAGGCCAGTGAGGTCTCTTTCACATTCAAGGGAATGTTTTCTGCCTTGTGTATCAAATCCGACCCTAATTTTGTTCTGACACCTTCCTCGCCGTTTGATGAGAACTCAATTAATTTTTTACATGAAATCAATAGGGGAAAAGACAGTAATGTCATTCTCTTTTCTTTATCATCAGCTAATCATCAGAGTCCTCATCAGTTCTGGGATAATTTAAGCTGGGCAGTTTCTTTGAGAAAGATGTTATCATAAGCAAGCCTGTTAAGAAACGATAATGGCTTACATTTATTAAGTGCCTCTTATGGGCTGGACATCATTCTGCACTCCGGTGTGAGCCTCTCATTTACAAGAGTATGTATATCGTTCGTACGGTGTAACAGAACTGGCCTGAGCAAATACACTCACCTTACAGTGCAGTGAAAACATGACATCTTTGTGACCTGAGAAAAATGAATATTCCCTGGGAACGCAGTGTTGGAATCCCACCAACTCCGCCAACTTGTAGTAAGAATTTCAGCCCAGCATGTGTGACTCACAGTGTCTCTGTCCCATGGAACCATTAGAGACTTGGGGTGGGGGGGGGAGGTGGAAATTTATGTGCATTTCATTAGAAACAATTTAAAATGCCGTAGGGGATGGTGGGAATTGCCTCCACAGCAATGGATCCAGTCCCGTATGTAGACGATGAATTCTTAATTCTTATTTTCCTCTCCTGTGGCCATTTGGGAAATTTAACAGATGAGAGTTGGCCTCATTAACTGCATGGCATTTTAATTGGTTTAAAGGCACATTTTTCTTTCCTTTGTGGCTTTGGGGACGCTCTGACAGTTTTGACTGTTGCCTCTTCTGACAGTTTATCCATGGTGATTAACATTAAAACTGTTTGGACAGGAAGTGCTCATGAGATTGTCTTCCCGGGCAGTTGGGAAGGGCGAGCCGTGCGCGATATTCTATTCCGCAGCCTGTCCCCTGGGACAAGGTTAGCCGAGGAACTTTGATTACTTAGAAGCAATAACATTTGAGACACTACACTGTGCATTTTATATTTCTTACCTCTTTTAACCCTGAACACCACCCTGTGAGGGTGCCCCCCCCCTTATCCTCTGGGGGAGCTAAGTTCTTTCTCCGGGTCCCTTAACTGGTAGGTGGTTGGACCGCAGTGACCTACAGAGATGTCCTTTTGTTCATTCCAACCCCCACGTACCTGGTAGAACACTGGGAGTTTACCCGACAGGCAGCCGCAACACTCTCTTGTGCAAGTTAATCAGTGAACCAATGAATGAATGATGGATAGAGTGGTCGGGCAAGATGTAGGAGTTTCGTATTCAGCAGTAACAAATTACCTCGAACTGGGTGGCTTCAACCAGCACAAATGCATTGTCTTCTAGTTCTGGAGGTCATAGTCCAAAACAGGCCTCCCCAAGAAAAGTCAGGGGGTCAGCTCTAGGGGAGAATCCGTTTCCTTGCCTTCTCCGGCTCCTTGAGACTTCCCCTCTCCCAGGCTCCTGGCCCGTCCTCCGTCTTCAGGGCTGATGACCCCGTCCCCCCCCACCCCTTCCTATCTCTCCCGATCCCACTCATCTTCTGCCCCCTCCTCCCGCTCTTAGAGACCCTTGTTATTTATCTCTCTACCGTTAAGGTCAGCTGATGAGCCACCTTAATTTCATCCGCAACCTTGTTTCTCCTTTGCCACGTAACCCAGCACATCCAGAGGTTCTGGGGATTAGGACGTGGATGTCTTCAGGGGACCATGAGCTTGCCCGCCACAAACAGCTTCATTAAAGATGTGAAATCTGGGGCGCCTGGGTGGCGCAGTCGGTTAAGCGTCCGACTTCAGCCAGGTCACGATCTCGCGGTCCGTGAGTTCGAGCCCCGCGTCGGGCTCTGGGCTGACGGCTCGGAGCCTGGAGCCTGTTTCCGATTCTGTGTCTCCCTCTCTCTCTGCCCCTCCCCCGTTCATGCTCTGTCTCTCTCTGTCGCAAAAATAAATAAACGTTGAAAAAAAAATTAAAAAAAAAAAAAAAAAGATGTGAAATCTACTGTGTCTCTCTCAGCAGAGAAGTAATTTTTTTTCTGAGCCTGTGGAACATGGCCTCGTTCTTTGGATGTTTAACCCTGCACGCGCTTCTTTCTTGCTTTGTGGCCTGGGACACTCAGCACACACACCTGCTCAGTGAGTAGTGGTGGAGAAAATGAGAGACGAAATGCCAGAGCTGTTACTTAAAAGTAGACTGATGAGGGGCGCTGGGTGGCTCAGTCAGTTGAGTGTCTGACTCTTGATTTCGGCTTGGGCCATGATCTCACAGTTCGTGTGTTCGAGCCCTGCCTCGGGCTCTGTGATGACAGTGCAGAAAATGCTTGGGATTCCCTCTCTCCCTCTCTCTCTGCTCCTCCCCTGCTCGTTCTCCCTTTCTTTCTCTCTCAAAATAAAAAAATAAACCTTAAAAAAAAAAAAAGGCTGATTGGGTTACGTCTAAAGGACACAGGAGCTAGTTTGACCTGAGACGGAAAAATTTGAGCACCAAAAAGAATTACCACTGCAGTTGATTGAAACCCACCAACTACATAAAAGTTTGTAATTTCACAGTGATGCAGGACAGGAGGAGGGGGTGTTCCTAGGTCCAGGTGAACACTTGGGCTCAAAAGACTCCCATAAGCTACACTGGACCCCGTGTAAGCAGATGGCCAGAGGGGCAGGAACATGGCTTGCCACGAGGGCATCAGGCATTCTTCCATGGGTGTCCTTGCCCCGGGTCACATTGTGGACTGCGTCGCTGTCTGGGAGGTGTTTTCTCGCCAGGCGACACAGCTCAGTGCAAGGAGATGTAATCCACACGAGGGCTCAGGTGGGAGCCTTCCTGTCTTAAAAGCTTCATACCCCACAGTAGCCAGAACCTCCTGTAACAACTCACAAGCATAGCTTCCAGGGTCCCCCCACAAGGGACGTCCCCAGTTCCCAGAGCCACTTCCCTCGAGGAAGTCCAGAGTGTGGCTTCCCTGCCAGACATTCATGGCTCATGTGCAGGTGCCCCATCCAGGTGTGATCTACCAATCAGGTGTCATTTGCCCCATGAGCCATGCTGCCTGGTAACGTATTTCATGTTCTTCCTCTTGTGAGCTTCCCAGTAGAAGTTATCCAGAGCTCAGATTCTCAGGGATTTGGCAAAAGTTTGAGCATCCTTTTGTTTTCAGATACCAGAACAAAATAAAACAAAATAACAACAAAATAAGGAAACAAACAAAAAAAGAAAAACACGGACCCAATCTCATTTGTCACCACTGGAAGCTGCTATGACATCAGTTGTAATTAGCAAAGAATCAAACATTCATTCTGTCTACAGACTTTATGTCAGAACAAC